ACATGCAATGTTTTGCCACACGCACAGGGACCCGTTATGACCTACAAATACCAATTTTCAAACAAATCCGTGAAAAAAATGTGGCATAAATCATCAAAATACCGAATATAGGGAGGTACCGTTATATGGGGACTATACCAGAACGTGGACCGATATATCTCATTTTCAATACCAACCATTCTAGACACAATGCGAATTGCTCTGCAAAATTTTGTTGCTCTACGTCAAATACTGTGGGCTGTATCGTGATTTCAACAGACGGACAGACAGACAGACAGACGGACATCGTTAAATCGACTTAGAATTTTATGCTGATTATGAATATATATACTTTATGGGGTCTACGACGAATAATTAAGGATGTTACAAACGGAATGACAAAAAGTTAATATACCCTCCTTACCAAGGTGGAGGGTATAAAAAGAAAATTGGCAGAACTATCCATCGTTTTTACTTTACCTGTGAAGAAAATTGAGATGTCTGGCTTCAAATAATCAGCATATTTATTAAATTAAAATAAAGGAACCACCACCAATTTTACAAGTTTTATAAACTTTTGCAGAACTTTCGGGTTAACAGACGACTTCCAGTAACAATTGGTAACAATTGTTACAAATTTTAGGGTAACCAGACACACCTATTATGTGTTGGGGGTATTATAAGTTTGATTGGACCAAAATTATGTAACACCTCGAAATAGTGGTTTCCGACATAGGAAACTATTTATGAATCTTCCTATCTTGCCGAGCTGAGTCGTTCTAGCTATGTATGTCGGTCTGGCCCTATCCTCACGAAACTGAAAATAGAGGTGAGATTAAGATCAGAATAGACTTCTATTGTTTTTGGAGAAAATCGCACACTACTTAGGAGATGAAATGGACCAAAATTTCCTGATTTTGCAGTTGCTCTATAGGCCACAATTATTAACAAATCGACGCGGAAATTTGCATTGAGTTAGAGTTCAGCATTGCATGAATAGGTCCACGTTGTGGTATAGCCCCCATATAAAAGTACCTCCCGATATTCGGTATTTAAGTTTTTTTTGCCACATTTTTTCACGGATTGGTCTAAAAATTGATATTTGTAGGTCATAATGGGTTCCAGCTCCGGTAGCGAAACATTGCATGTATGGGTCCATGATTTGGTATAGCCCCCACATAACGGTACCTCCCGATATTCGGTATTTTGATGGTTTTTGCCACATTTTTTCACTGACTTGTCTAAAAATTGGTATTTGTGGGTCATAATAGGTCCTGGTTCGTGTGGCGAAACATTGTAATTATAGGTACACGTTTTGGTATAGCCCCCATATAACGGTACCTCCCGATATTCGGTATTTTGATGGTTGTTGCCACATTTTTTCACGGATTTGTCTAAAAATTGATATTTGTGGGTCATAATGGGTTCCAGCTCCGGTAGCGAAACATTGTATGTATGGGTCCATGATTTGGTATAGCCCCCATATAACGGTACCTCCCATATTCGGTATTTTGATGGTTTTTGCCACATTTTTTCACTGATTTGGTACCTCCCATATTCGGTATTTTGTATTTGTGGGTCATAATAGGTCCTAGTTCGTGTGGCGAAACATAGTTATTATAGGTACACGTTTTGGTGTAGCCCCCATATAACGGTACCTCCCGATATTCGGCATTTTAATTGTTTTTGCCACATTTCTTCTAATATTTCTTTTACCCTAAGTTGGAGGGTATTAAAAGTTTGGCCCGGCCGAACTTAATGTTTTTTACTTGTTTGCTTCCATTCAATAAATTAAAAAAAGTAAAAATTATGGCATTTGACTTTTTTGCAGTTTTTATACCCTCCACCATACTATGGAGGGTACATTAATTTTGTCATTCCGTTTGTAACTCCTCGAAATACTCATGTCAGACCCAAGGAAGTATATATATTCTTGATCAGCGTAAAATTCTAAGACGATTTAGCTATGTCCGTCTGTCTGTTTGTTGTAATCTTTCGAACAAATTGAGATAGAAGGCTAAAATTTTGAACACGTGTATATTTTTCCAGTAGGCAGGTTCGTAAATGGGCCATGTAGGTCCACGCTTTCATATAGCCCCCATATAACGGTACCTCCCAAAATTCGGTATTTTGATGATTTTAGCGTCATTATTCACCAGAATTGTTTCAAATTTGGTATTTGAAGTTCGAAATGGATACTACAGCCTGTGACAGAAAATTGTCTGTGCTGGTCCACGTCTTCGTATAGCCCCCATATAACGGTACCTCCCAAAATTCAATATTTTGATGATTTTAGCGTCATTATTCACCGGAATTGTTTGTTTTTATTTAGGTCTTTGCTAATGTCAATGAAGGTTTTGCAATGTGTGAAATTAGAAGACACATCGAACAATTATTTTTGATTTTGGCACTTGGCTTAGTTATGATTATGATTTCTTGTGGGGCATATATGAAAAGGAGACCATCGATATTTATATTAGATCTCGAGTACAGTCAAACATTGATATACTTTGTTTCGCGTTATAAGTAGCCCTTTTTGAAGGAGGTACCAGAAAGAGTGGTCCCATATATTCCATATTTACAACAGATCTTGTGTTAATAAAACTATATGCCGAGTTTGAATGGAATCGGATGGTAATTTCTCGTTTTATGATACTCATGGTTATTCAAAAATTTGACCCGTTGTGGGGGAGTTACTAGAAGAAGGGCTGAGAAATTTAAAGACAATCAGATCGTTATTTCTTATATTCAAAGAGTTATGATTATTCAAAATTTTGATACAATGAGCGGGAGGTACTTGATGGTGTGTACCGATGTTGTCCATTGTCACATTTTGTACTTAGGCTAATGTTAGATTTGGAAAACCTAAATAAATTGTATGATTCTTTCTTGTTCTATGAGGTAAATTATTTACTACGAAAACTTTATCCTTTTGTGAGAGAGGTATCATAAAGAATGGACTTATATTGTCCATTTACGAACTCGATCTAAGTTTGATAATAATAACAGATAGACCGACGGACGGCCACTCTTAGATCGTTTCCAAATGTCCTAAAACGGATTTTGAGACCTAAGTTCTAAAACTGCTATTTCTATGAGGCAGGCTTTTGTCGTATCAAATGATATATACCCTCTGTAGCCATGTGGCTGAGGGTATAAAAATATCAAAATGAACGTAATAACAAATACATGAATGCCGCAACCGATGAAATTACATTGATACTGATTTTGTTGATGAATATATCCAAATATCGGTAATTCAGGGAGTCATATAGAGGAATCTTAATTTTCAAATATTGTTTTGAATACCCATTGACACGACATAGGGTGTAATTATAGGTTAAGTACTACGAAGATTGGCATAACCTCGTGGTTTCGGTCAAAAACCAAGATAAAACTTTTGCAGGACTGTGTGACATTATTTCAAGAATGACAGGGCAATATTATATGACAAGATATGACACTACAATGAAGTTGTGTTCTCTTCTCTTCACTACAATGAAGTTGTGTTCTCTCTCTCGTATCAAATGATATATACTCTCTGTAGCCATGTGGCTGAGGGTATAAAAATATCAAAATGAACGTAATAACAAATACATGAATGCCGCAACCGATGAAATTACATTGATACTGATTTTGTTGATGAATATATCCAAATATCGGTAATTCAGGGAGTCATATAGAGGAATCTTAATTTTCAAATATTGTTTTGAATACCCATTGACACGACATAGGGTGTAATTATAGGTTAAGTACTACGAAGATTGGCATAACCTCGTGGTTTCGGTCAAAAACCAAGATAAAACTTTTGCAGGACTGTGTGACATTATTTCAAGAATGTCAGGGCAATATTATATGACAAGATATGACACTACAATGAAGTTGTGTTCTCTCCGAAAGAGCGAATTATGTATTTGACGTAGTATGAAAACCAACGTCCTTAAATGCCGATGCTGATCATAGTGCCATATCTATGATTATTATTCAAAAAGAGAAGCAATTAGGTTCTACCTTTGTTTTATGTAATAGATACATAAAACAAAGGTTGAACCAAAAGGTTTTCAGATCTGCAGAAACTTTGTCGAAAATAGTAAAATTGTCAAAAAAATATAAGGGGAACAAGGGAAAACATTCGAAATATATGGCCTATTCTTGGTTTTACATATTTTTCTGCCGATTTTGTCAGATAAACTCAATAAATTCTTAAAGATTTTTTAAAAAAAATTGATGTTTAGACCCATTATATATATGAAGCTCACTAAACCCACTCGTTTTTCTACAACCTTTCCATTTAAGTATAAAATTATTTAGGCGATAATCAAGAGATTACCACATACAGAAATTCTCTTTGCATTTAACCCTGATTAAGGTTATAAGAAGGATGCGCCATAGATAGATGTTTTGAAGTATTTGACTGCCTGTTTCATTTCGCAACATTCATTCACCGAAGCCACCGTTTTTTTAATTCACTGGGAAATTATAAAAATTCCCACACTGTGTTTTTACAATATTAGAAAATTTCTTTTAATTAAAATCAAAGCACATTCTCCTCTAGAGAGTGTATTGAAGAAAATCAATGAGTAATGAGTAAAGAAAGTACTCTCTTTTTGAGAGAAGTGATGGCAGAGCAAGAGGTGCGCATGCGCACCAAGTTGACAATTTTTTATGAGACTGAAAGAAAAGTCAATGGAAGGCACCAACTTACAATTACCGAATGTACTCTCAAATTCACTCTTTTCTTTCGTTGTTTATACTCTCTGTTGGTTTTGTTGTAATAAATTGTTAGGTGAGGGACTTTGGGCCACAATCATAGCTGTTTTTTTTTTGTTGCTATTGCCGATTAGTGTTAAAGTCAAGTGCGTTGGTATTTTTTGTTGTACTGTCTCCAACGGCGACCAACGGTGAGTTGTCACATACACCAATGTTACGGTGCATGTTGTTGTTGTTTGCTTGTCTCTTCTTCTTTTGAATTCTTAATAAATCAAAGTAAAGAATATAAATTGGAACCAACACGCCTTCAACAGTCGCAGTTAGCATTATTCAGCCAACGGAGCCTCACACACAGGTGTAGCGAGTGCAAGCTTTGGTCTGAACCCCAAAATAATAATCATCCAACCCAACCAACCAATCAATCTACTTCAGTTAAGCCAATAGACCAAATAAGGATTACATGGATTACCAAAATTTGTTATAAAGTGAACTATTGCAATTTTGTGTGTGTACGCGTGTGTGGAAAACAAAGAAAACACATCTTTCATTTTAAGCTATATCTCACAAATTCAATAGCCAAGAATAAAAAAAGAACCGTTAAATAAAATAATATAAAAAAGTCGTCAAAGTGCTAAAGTGCCCAATAAGAAGCTTAAAACCAAAAAACTTGAATATTCAAGAGACAATCATCATGTGGAAATTCAGTGTTTTACTAATATGCCTAAGTGGATATTGTCTGGCAGGTCCAGTGGGTCTGAAGGTGAGTGTCAAATGGATTTTGAGATCAAACGTGAATGAGTTTTGTGAAGCAATAAAAATGTCAGCTCGAAATTAAATTTACTACACATTCAAAATTTAAAAAATAATCAGAATCGACTCTTTACGATTATGTCCATTCCGGTCCATTGCAAATTTGCAGCCTTAAATTAAGATGTATTTTTTTGAAGATTTGGATGGTGGTATTTTTTGCTTGGCTGATAAATCCTTGCAGTTCAAATTAGATTGACGTTTTTATAATTCATTAAAATTTGTAATAAATTTTAGTTATCCTTGGGGTTTAATTTTAAATGTACTTAGATAGGACATCCTTTTATTTGGGAAATGGGATTTGTTTTATTCTTTTTTATACGTATCGTTTTAGTTTTTCTAAAAATATAGAATTTCCGTCATAGACTGGAGGAAAGGCTAGATTTTGATTTGAAAACATTGATTGATTAAAAAATACAACACAATTTTTTTATTTTAAAAAACTCAGAGAAATTTAAAATATAATCATTATCGCGTTCTAAGTAGCTTGGCAGTAAAGGATATAATATTAGAACTTTTGAACTGATAGGTAAAAATTAATTTTTTTTCAGCACTATATAATGTCATATTGGGCGGAGGTTGTTTATAATTTTGGGAATAATCAGACTATGATCAAGTAGAAATAGTCCATTGGGTCGAATAGAATGTATAATCATAGGGAAAATAATATATTTATACCCTCCCTTATTTTTGAAACCCTTTGAGACAAACGATCTAATTATATAGTATGCATATTTTTGAATAGACAAAAATTTCACGTCGATTTAGCCATCTCTGAATGCCTGTCTTTTGAAATCGCCATAGAACTCATGATAAAATCATTATTGGAATTCAAAAATGTTAATAAAAACCAGTAAGGAAAAGTCAAAAGTCGAGCGAGGCCGACTATATGATACACCACTATGCATATTTAGTAGAGCTCCCGTAACAAAAGAATTTATTTGAAGTAGATCATAACACCTATCAACATTTAGCTTTAGAGCAGTTATAAATTGGTTTCAGAGGAAACTGATATATGGGAGGCATATCCAATTTTCACCAAATTTGACGGAGGCATTTTTATTTTTTTTTACCAAATAACAATGCAATAGAGAACATGATATCACTTCGAGAAGGATTGTATTAAAAAAATATGTATCGGAGCCGTATACCACTAAATGAAAACATATGTCCCGAAATTCACTATATTTAGGCTTATAAAAGCCACTATTTGCACAATAAGCCTTAAATCGGCTTATATATGGGAGATATATCCATATATGGGAGATATATCCATATATGGGAGATATATCCAAATCGTAGCCTATCTCGATAAAATTTGGTAAACGTATTTCCGAGCTCTATAAAATATCTAGTACCAAATATCATTGTTGTTGTGGAGTGCATATTACGAATGTGAGGATTTTAAAGCCAAAATCGGTTAAAGCATATATATGGGAGCTAGATCTATATCTGATCCGATTTTCCCCAAATTTGATGTTCTTGCTACTAGACTGAATTCGGTCGGATGTGCCAAAAGTCAGGTCCTATGGGCTGATTTTGACCATTTGATGCACAATTAACCCGAAATCAGTTGAGGATATATATGGGAGCTATATCCAAATCTGAACCGATCATGATAAAATTTGGCAGAGGTATTTCTGAGCTGTATGTGATATCTGGTACTAAAGATCATTCCTGTAGAGCGCATATTACGAATGTGAGGGACTTAAACACTAAATCCGTTGAAACATATATATGGGAGCTATAGCTATTCCTGAACCGATTTTCATCAAACTGGACTGATATTGGCCTTTTAGTGCACAATTAACCCTGGACAGACAGATGGACTGACATGCATCAAAATCGGCTCAAAAAGTGATTCAATGAAGATCCTCAAAAGCGCTTCCTTATCCATGTTACAAACAAATGCACAAAGACATAATACCCTTATCACTATGTGGTGTAGGGTATAAAATTTTCCAAAAAATAAAATCATGTAAAAATTCTGCAAATATCTTAAAAATGATGAATATTGTCGTTATATTGGGTCTATACGAAGACGTGGACTTGCATGGGCAACTTTTGTCATAAGCCATCACAATATTCAAATACGAAACTTAAAAAATAAATAGGTGAATAATGTCGCTAAAATCATAGAAATACCGAATATAGGAAGGTACTGATATATGGGACCTATGCGAAAACCTGAACCTGCATAGGCAATTTTTTCGTAGACTGTAGTACCCATTACTAACTCTAAATTCGAAATTTGAAACAACCCCGGTTAATTATGTCCCAAAAATCGTCAAAATATCGAATATCAGGGGGGCTATACGATATCGTGGACCTATATAGGCAGTACTCTTCCAGGGGGTAAAGTGCTTAGAAAGAACTTCTAGTATGGATTTTTAGATAATTCCATTGAATAATTTAGCGAAAATCATCCAAATACCGAATTTAGGGAGGAACAGTTATATGGAGGAATCTACACAGTACTTCTCCCGGGGGTAAACTTTTCCAGAGGGGTAAACTCTTTTTGTGGTTCATCAGGCAATATCATTTAAAAATTTGGCTACAATCAAAATACCGAATATCAGGGGGTTCCGTTATACGGGGACTATACGATATCGTGGATCGATAAAGCCCATCTTCGAAACTTGACCTGTCTTCAGACAAAAGAGTGACCTTTGTAAATTTTTACCTACCTATCTTTATTCGTTTTGACTCTAGTGTGATTATAATAGACAGGCAGGACAGACTGACAGGGCTAAAGAAACATAGAATTTTACGCTGATCAAGAATATATATAATTTGTTATGTCTAAAATTATTATATGGGTATAAAAACACTCACTCGCGCTCTTGCACTTTTTGGAATTTTAATGGCTTTACTCCGAGCCCATTTTTCAATATTTGCCGAATGGAATATTGCGATATGTTTAGCTCACGAGCCATTTTTCGGCCACTGCGACTCGGGTTGCGGTAAAGTCGCTTCTTTACTTTTCGAACCATTTCTCCTGATGTTGCTGTTTTCTTCCGGCCACTTCCTTGACATCGGGCTACGCTACCAGTATCACGGTGACGAGCAATCGTACGAGACACAAAAGATTTATTCACATTTAAATGCTGGAGTGCACTAACGATAGCCACTTGTGGTTTTGCAGCCGGAGATAAAGAAATCACACTACCACGCTTGAATTCCATCACGAATCACATTTTTCTGGAAAATTCTCACCAAAATGATTTTTTAGGTTTGTAAATAATATAATGAGCTGTCACTGGAATAATTTTAACAGCTGTCGGATGATTGGCTTAGTAATAACAGCAGTCTAAAATTGGTTGCAGTATTTTCATGTCACCCTGTATTTACCTTTATCTGTATTTTGCTGTCTTTTGTACCGAGAATAGCATAATTTAAAAGTTGTAAGTGATTATCTTTATATTTTTTTTTTGGGGGGGTTAGCAAAACGGAAAAGGTAACATGTCCCCAAAATATAAATAAATGCTTACTTTTGGCACCCAAAGAATGAGTCGAAAGGTTTTGGGCCAGTATTTCATTGGCAATTCACAAAAAAAACTCCCAAATTTGGTGCATACCTCTCATTTGCATACAAACCTATGACCACATACATTACTATAAGAACTTTTAAATCATTTTTCCTATTGAAGATCAATGAAAGGAAATGCTTATGCATACTCAGTTTCCACTCAAGCATTCATGTGTATGTACACACTCATACATATAAAAAAGTAACAAAAACGTCACCCGACGGCTAGTGACCCTGCAAATGCCAAATTATTTTCCGGAAGTAAATTCAATAAAAAATTATTGACTCTTTCATGGCTAGGTGGTCATATCAGCTCTCTTTTTATTTCTCTTTTTCATTTCATTCATGAATTTGTCTACATAAATTTCTTTAGTTTTTGTTCAGTTGTTTACTTGCCAATGCGTTCTCGTATATCATTACTTCGAGTGTTCAGAAAAAAAATCGAATCACTTAAAATTCTAGACATTACTCCACAGACCCGCTAACAAAAAAAGGCCATACGTGTAATTTGTTGCTTATTTTCTTTTTCTGTGTCGTTAACAAGTAAAGTAGAAAAAAGAGACAGACAAAAGAAGAGTTTTCATTCTTGGGTCAGATTGTGGGTGCCAATATGTATATACCCGCTTCGTTGCAATGCCCTGTGGTTGCAGAATTGCAGTTGGTTTTGTGGCAGCAAAGAAAATTAGCATGCGTGCCTGTCTCTTGGATATCACTTGATCACTGACCATTGTCTGAGATTATTTGCCCAACGCTGGCGCACGCACCAGACGCAAAGTTTTCTTATGGCCATGGGTTGATGTGTAAGTGGCCATAACGGAGGCAACATTGTAAGAAATATCGAAGTCGGAAGTTTTTAAATGGTTAACGAGGATATTTTCACTTGGATCGTTCAGGAATTTTTATATATATTCACATTGACATATGTATGTATTATTTTTCGTTGGAAACAAATACTTTTTTTATTGAACGCTTAAGTGGAATTTAGCAATAATTGTTGGGTTCCTGTCAATTTCTCAAGTGGTCATAATTTAAAAGCTACGTTTTTTAAATGTTTGAAGAATGTGCAATGTCACAAACATTTCAGATTTTCAGAGGAGAATATTTTCCTTAAATTCCTATTTAAATTATTAAATTTGAGGTTCGCATTGTCGGTGTCATGCTTATGTGTTTCATATGCAATTCGCCTATTTTGAGAAAAGCGCATTAAACAGTTCGCCTCGAATTTCTTGGGATTGATTGAAAATCATGTTAATATGTTTGACTAGAATTGCTAGCGATCATATATTAACGGTGTGTGAGAAATTTCAGACAAGAGTCGGCTGGAATAAAAATTGTATACAGAGTTTTTGAAACATGATTTTTTTCAATTTTGTTCCACATTCACACTTTTGATCAGCGAACGAAAAAAAACTATTAGAAACTGTTGCAATCGTTGTGTTCTGTATTTTTTCGAAGTATGAATCGAAACAAAACCGATATTAAGATAACGGAACTTGTTACTTATTTTGTACTGTTTGCGTAGATGAGTGGAAACAAAAGCAGAACTCAAATATATTCTTCTGGATGAAGCAACATTGGAAACGAAATAGTACAATACTCATTAAAAACGTCCCCCTTTATATTAACTCCTTAAAAATAGTGTATAAACTAATTACAAGTTAAAATTATTCCGTTTTATTCAATTATTTGGCCATCATACCATGGAGAAAAGTACAAAAAAAAAAAAACATTATTAAGAATAACGATTCTTAATGTACCAGTCATCCTTTAGCATAGCAAGCGTTTCCGGTGATTCGTTTGCAAACGATGCAGCTCGGCCACAGACAGCCGAAGTACATTAAGTTACTTGTATTGCTTGTGTACTTCTGGCATTGAAATGTTTGTGGTTTTGTTTGAAGTGCAAAACTATTGGAAAAAATTTGAAAGTTTGTGCCATCGTTAATCGTTTCGTTTGTTTTCGTTCCCTGCTTTTGACACAATTGTAAAATATTGTGCACTACATGTAACAAGTATGCAATTTTTTGTCACACTGCTAATAAATTCTCAATTTCTAAATCAAGCATTAAGTTTTTTTTTTTTTTTTTGAACTGATTTTTTAAACCCAAAACACTAAGTGTTGAGGGTATTATAAGTTTGATTGGCTAAAAATTATGTAACATAGGGTGCAATGAGATGTACAATATGGATCTTACTATCTCATCGAGCTGAGTCGATCTAGGAATGTGTATCCGTCCGTCCGTCTATCTGTGTAAAATTGCAATCACCCTGTAGATCGCAATTATGTTCCAATCCTTAAGAAATTTTGCACGGAGGTGGGGTTGAGGTCAGAATAGAAGCCTATTGTGTATGTACTGTCGTTCGCATTGCAAAAGATCTTTTTAATTTGACTAAAAACATTGAATTGTTCATTTTGTAATATATTTTTTTCACCTAACAGTACTATATGTTGGGCTATTATGTTCAGGACCCAATTATCATCCGATATTTACGAAATTTTGCATGGGAGTGGGGTTTGGATCGGAATAGAAGCTAATTGTTTTAGAAGATATTGGAAAATTATTTAGATTTTTAAATGAACTAAAAACCTAGATTTTGCTGTCGACCTTCAGTTCTCAACTAAGAACCAATGGACGTTAAATATTTAATGAGGTTAAAGTTTAGGACAGCACTGAAACCTTTTGGATGGTCATCGGATAATATTTAGTTGATAAAATGTCGGTTTAACGATATCCGTCCGTCTGTGGAAATCATTTTAGCTTCCGAACGAAATTAAGTAGGTTGCTAAAATGTTACTCAGATGTTTAATAGGTCTGCATGACTTTTGGTATTGAAAGTGGGCTATAATGGTCCACATTTTGTTTTATCTCCCATATAACTTTATCGACAGATTTTAGGTTTATTTGCTGTAAGAAATATCCTTGAATAGAACTGTCAATATATGTCTAAGTTTTGATATAGTCCCCATATAACGGTACCTCCCTATATTCGGTATTTTGTTGAATTTAGCGACATTATCCACCAGAATTGTTTATTTGCAAGTTCGTAATGGGCGCTATAGCCTGTGACCGAAAATTGCATATGTAGATTCAGGTCTTCGTATGGCCCTCATGCAACGGCACCTCCCGATATTCAGTATTTTGATGATCTTAACGACATTATTTAAGGGATTTGTTGCATATGTCTTATTTGAAGATGGTAATAATCGGAATTTCCACGATTTCAAGCACATTTTTCACAGCAATGGGTACTACTTCCTATGACAGAGAATTGACTACACAGGGCTTCGTGACTCCGTTTAGCCACCATATAACAGTACCTCCCTACATTCGTTAATTTTGGCGACATTGCCCAACGGAATTATTTCAAAGTTGATATTTGGTGTTCACAATAGTTACCAACTTCTCTGATACAAATTTTTCTGCATACAACCACATTTGCGTATATACCTTTTGTAAATGTAACCAGGCGATATTCGCCTTTTTGATATTCGAAGACATTTGTAATGGTCCAAATTTTGAAAATTTGGTCTAAACGCTGAAACCTGGAAATTTTTGTTGAAAATAATTAATTGTTGAAACTTGTTATTGCAAATGGGCAACATTCTAGCTGTATGAATTACTTATACAATATTCGTTAAATAAAAGTACCAGGATGTTATATTTATCGGATGGAGAATACCGTTTATGGATCAGGTTTTATGTGACGACAGCAAAAGAATAAAGCTCAAGAAGAAAAGGTTAAAAAACTAATTTGGAAATGTGTTGTTTCTTTTCATTCGCGTATCGTCATACCGAAAAGGGTCATAAGTATTTAAAATAACCTATGACCTATGTATAGACAGTTCTGCTAGCGGAGGTAGAAACCATTACGAACTATCTCAAAAATCAAATTAAAGAAACGCTAGAAATCATTACTAAAATCGCCAAAAAAATTAAATATTCGGAGTAACCGTTATTTTGGGCCATGGACGTAGACATTGCCATTTATACCGAATTTGATATAATTCCCTTAATTCTTCTCGAATATCGTGAGGTATCGTTATATGGAGATTATACGAAAACCCATTTACGAGCTTTATCTGCCTAGTGACAAAAGTATATGTGTTTTGCGATTAAAAAAGCCAGGAAGACGGACATCGCAAAATATATACCCTTTGTAGGGTCTAATGTGAGTACTTCGAGGGGTTACGAATGGAATTTCAAAATTATTTTACCCTCCATTATATAAAAAATATCTATATCTTGCATATTTTATATGAATTCTCTCACTTACACATACACAATTTCAAATTACCAATACAAAGAAAAAAAAAATAAATAAAAAAACTATTAATCATACAAACACCAAAAATAATCGAATTATTTAATAAAAATTTCTTTATATATTTTTTTCTTTCAATATCTAATTAAAATGCAAGCTACAGACAAAAATGTCAAAACCATTTTCTAGCTGGTGTTGAAGAAAACCGCTTCATTTGATTTTCAAAACAATATGTGATAATATTTCATACTAACCAAAATTAATTGAAATGAGAAAATTTTATTACCCCACCATTATTATGACCCCTGTCATAATAATCGAGACCCACCAAACAAACAAATAGTTCGACAAAAAAGAAAAAAAAAGGAAGAAGAAGAAGGCAACTAGCAATTATGCAGGTGCAACTTATGTACATATTTATCCAGAAAAGGCCTGTACGTGTGTACATACTATCACAATGTTGCGCATGCGCATAGCTAACAGCTAACGCAAAAGACAGTCAGCCAGTCACCGGTTTAAAAAAAAAAAATTGTGTACCCATACAAAATGGAATCCATAAATCGATATAAGCAATATTCGGTGAATTTTTTGAATCGGACATACATTCGTAAATAAGCGACAAATATTCGTTAATACCGCCTCGGTCAGCAGCAATGGAATAATGAAATTTCACTTTTTGCCTCAGTAAACTAGAACAGAAGTGAAATTGTGTGAGTTTTTTGTTGTTGTTTTTTTTTTTTTTCAAAATTCGAGTTTCGCATTAGACGGGTATTGAGGGAGGGTGTAGTCGATTAGTTGGGTTAATCGATTAACCAAACTCAATGAGCTGGTCATTTTGACACCATGCGTCACGTGCATGCAGTGTTCATAAAATGTATGCGGCACGATCACAAATTCATGTCATGTTTTCCAACCACTGTTTTTATTGCCCAACTCAAACGGATTTTGAATTGTTTACCAATGCTGCTTGTCTATTTTCAGAAGAACATACCCATTGGCCTACAGCAAAGAGCCAATGATGCTAACACAGAAAATAACGTCATGGCGGCGGAAGCAGAAAGTCCAGCTGACATGTCGCTGTTGTCTACCTTGACACTGCCCAGCAATGCCACCTCCATTAGGGCTGATATCACTGACAACTTCTCTTGTGAGAACAAGCCATATGGTTATTATGCCGATGTTGAGAATGATTGCCAAATCTTCCATGTATGCTTGCCTGTTACTTATGCCGATGGTAAGGAGAATACATTCCGTTGGAGTTTTATCTGCCCTGAAGAGACCGTGTTCAGTCAGGTAAGTATCGGTTAGAATTTAGAGGAGTTTATTGGTTTCTCACATTTGAAATTTTAGGACTCATTCACGTGCATGCGTCCAGAGGATATGGCCATCTCTTGTGAGGAGTCCCTTAATTATTATGAATTGAATCGTAACTTTGGTATGGTTCAACCAGAAGCTGAAAAGGAAAACAATGAAGTTGCCGAAGCTGAAACTCAACCCGAAATCGCTGTCCAACCCGTTGTAATCATGCCTGAACCCGTGCAGGCCGTTGAACAACCCATTAAAACCAACCGTCGTAAACCCGGTCTCTCTTTTGCCGCCCAAAAGAAACCTGCCTATCCTTTGCGCAAAGTTCCTCAAACCCAACCAGAAATGACTGCCATTGCCACCGAGCAACAGGCTTCCGAAAACACTGAAATTGCTCAGGAAGTACAAGAAGACGAAATTAAACCAGTTGTGCAAAAATTCAGCAGACGCCCAGTTCCGGTGATGTCGAATTCCTTCAAGGACAAAATCCAAAATGCCGGTAAGCCTGAAAACGTCAACTCCTTAAGGGCCGATCTGTTCAATCAAAAGCGTAAACGCCCAACAATGTTTAACAAAAAACCCTTGGAAGAAGCTGCCGATGAGGTCACGCTAGTTGAGGATAAAGTATCCGAACAGAGTTTTTCCCCCTTGGAATCTGCAGTGCCAGTCACCAATACTGAAACTCAAGTGGCCGATGCTGAAATTGAAGCCTCGCAAACCCAAGAAGTTTTCGTGAAGCCAGAGGAGCCCCAAGTAGAATCTGAGAAACCTGTACAAGTTTTGGAAGCATTTGAAGAAATTCCCGCTGTCATTGCTGAAGTAGAAGAACCCGCCCAAGTTGAATCCGAAGCAGTAGCCAACAATGAGGATGAAGTTGTTGCTGAAGTTCCAGCTATTGAACTCACCCAAAATGAGGAAGAAGTTCATGCCGAGGCTCCAGAAGATATCCAAGTGCAAGCTGAAGAAACCAAATCAAACCAAGATGAAAAGACTGAAGATGAAACACCCGTTGTTCCTGAGCCAGAAGAAGAAGTTAAAACTGCCGACGAAACTGATAATGTTGCCCAAACTGAAGAGGAAGAACCTGCCCAAGAAATCGCTGAATCAAATGCCGAAGAAGAATCAAAAACCACACAAGATTCTGCAGTTGATGCTGAAGAACAGAAATCAGCCGAAGAGCCCCAAAGTGCCGAAGAAACCCAAAGTGCGGAAGAAGTTGTACCCGTTGTGGTAGAAGAAGAAATTCAAGCTGCTGAAGATATAAAACCTGCCCAAGAAAATATTAATGCCGAAGAGGTTCAAACTTCTGATGAAGTTGCTTCCGCGTCAGCCGAAACACAAGTCGCCGAAGAAGATGTGCCCGTAGCTGATAGCAAAGATGAAGTAAAATCTGCTGACGAGGAAGTGGCCGTGTCATCGGAAACAGCTGAGGAAACTGTCGTTAATGCTGAAGACGCAAAATCAACTGAAGACGTTCAAACTGTTGAAGGTGAACAAGTAGCTGATGAAATCCAAACTGCCGAAGAGCCCCAAGCTGAAGAAGAGCCTCAAGCTGTCGAAGAGCCAAAAGCTGTGGAAGAGATCCAACCTGCCGAAGAAGATCAACCTGTCAAAGAAGCTCAAGCTGCCGAAGAAGTTCAAACGTCGGACGAAGTCCAGACTGCCGTTGAAACCCAAAATTCGGAAGAAACTCAAACTGTCGACGAACTTCCCGTTGTTGCAAATATGGAACAAGCTGCCGCTGCATCCGAAGAAACCCAAACATCCGAAGAAGTCAAATCTGTGCCAGAAAATGTAATTGTCGAGGAAGATCAAGAAGCAGACGTAGCTCCCGTTGCTGAGGAGACACAAGCTGTGGAAACGGTTGCCGAAGATGAAGTAAAAGAATCTGAACCAACTGTTGTTAAAAGTGAAAATAATGAAGAACCACTTGCCAGTGAAGAAAACAGCCCAGCTCTAGAGCAATCCGAAGTAGTTCCAGAAGAGGAAGTGGCTGAAGAAATCAAACCAGTGATCGAAAGTGAAACTCAAGAACTTCAAGCTGAAGCCGAAGAAGTGAATCCAGTCCAAGAAGAAGAAGAGGCTCAGGACGTTCATACACCGGAAATTGTTGCAGAGGAATCATCTATGCCCGAGGACGTAAAATCCGAGGAATCCGAAGCATCACCTTTGAAAGAAAATGTAAACGAAGATGCCAAGAGTACCTTACCCGCCCAAGACAAACCCTCAGAACCTGCCATTTTCGAAGAAAACTCGGAAGAAATTGCTGCCGCTCCTGTTGCCCAGACTATCGAGGAAATGGAAGCTGAGAAACCTGTTGAAGCTCCAGAATCTATGCCAGCCACTGACGAAATGACCGTACAAGATCCCATGGTCGAGCAAATGTTGGAAGAATCGAATGCCGATGAAACCAAGAAGCAAAGCATTGGCGGTTTCAAACCTGTCGACCCAGCCATGGCTGCAGAAGCTGAACAACTGATTGCCGACTTTATCAACACTTTGAGAAGAAACGACTTTACCAACGAAAAGCCTGGCATGCCCATGGGAATGCCAATTCCTGCAGCAGACTTTGCACCTGAGCCCGAACAAGTGTCTGAGGAGGATATCAATAAAGTACTAGCAGCTCAGGAAATCCTAGAACAAGCCGATAATGCTGCCGAAGAGATGAAGAGTGAAGATCAACCACAAATTTTTGAGGCACAATCTGCCAGTGAGGAAGATAAAAGTGTTGACAACGAAGAGGAAACTAGACCCGATGTAGAAGAAGAGAAAGAAACTTCGTTTTTGAAGTCCACTGAGGTTCAGGGTATTAATGCCGCCGAAGAAGAAGAGAAACCAGTGATGCTGCCGGTCACAGTTCCTGAATTGATTATGTCGCATGTTCCCCAACAGATTCCAGTTGAAATTGTCGCCTCTCCTGTTGAAGACGAGCCACAACAGCAGGAGGAGCAAGAAAATGCAAGCGATAATGTTGACTCCGAAATGCCCGCCACAAATGAAGAGGAACAGAACGAAAAGGAAGAACAAGCAGTGTTTATGGGCGGTTATAAGCCTTTGAGCATTGATGATATTGTTGAATTGGTCAAGGAGCGTTTAGACCAAAAACCCAAGGATGACATGGAAACCCCAATGCAATTGGAACAAGTTTTGGGCGAAGCAAAGCCAAACGCTGAAGAACCAAGCGGTGTAGAAGAATCCGATTCAGCTGCTGAGCAGCATGCCAATGAATCTCAGCAACAGTCCGAGGAAGAAATCGTCATGCCAATATATCATCGCTCAACTGAACCCCTTAAAGTGGACGCTGCGGTGCAGACCAATAGCCATGAGGAATCAGCAGCTGCCGTTGAGGCTGCCGAGGCTCCCTCAACACAAGATAAATCCAATCGTTCCTTAAGATCTCGCAGTATGTTAAACGCCAAATTGGATCCCCGCAAACGTCGTTTCCTCTTCAGGTCAGACGAGAGCTAATTTAGTAAATTCGCCCCTCAGAATAGCCTGCCCAAGACTGTTCGCCTTTAAAAGCTGAGCCATAAACCCCGCCCAAAATCTTATTATTTTAGATTTTTTTAATATTCGCTTTCCATTTGATGATGCTGCCAGCTATCGTCCTACTCTACATTACCTTCCTTCCTCCTCTCTATATTTTTTAGCTGACAAAAAACAAAACGTTTAGGTTTTAGAATCACAAACATTCTCTCGCACGATATGTCTTCTATGGATGACAGGCAAATCAGTTTTGTCTTTTGTTCCGCATTGTGTTTTTTACTTTCCACCTTTTAAACAAATGACAGGAACACACTTTTTTTGGTGTGCGTTTTCGTTTGTTTTGGATTTAAATTAATTCAAAGTGTATTTCTATTCGTTCTATTCAGAATGGCATAAATTATTTCGAAATATTATTGATTTTGTTTTGTTATTTATTTTGCGATTTAAAAAAATTTTAATAATAATTTTTTAATTGTATGTCGATTTTGTACTTAAAATAAAAATACGAAAAATTAGTTGTAAAGTATGTTTTATTGCAAGGTATAGGAAGTGTACGAAAAGTACAACGAAGCCTGCATTGAGTTCGAAGTGTGGCCATAATCAAAACTCCCATGACCGGAGGCCTTAACGATGACTTAACGATTCATCAACGAAACGGCTGAAGCTAGAAGCTAAAATTTTGAGTCAGGGTCATTCTTGGTTCGAAGGGAAGTTCGTACTAGAACAGTACAAAATGTATTAAAAGGTACTAAATATGATAAACTTTGCATTTGAGGAAGGAGTAGAGCTAGAAATCTTAAATTTGAAATGAGGGTCACTGCACTGTGCAGGGTGAGATGAAAAAATTGTAACCAACTTCGAACTGATGTCATTTCTAAGCCACTCGTCCGAAAGCTGTTAAAATTATTCTAGTGATAGCTCATCATATTGTTTACAAGCGTAAAAAAGGATTTTGGTGAGAATTTTCCAGAAAAAAATTGCTATTCGTGATGGAATTCTTTATATATGGCTGGAAAACCACAAGTGACACTCCAGCATTTAAATGTGATTAAATCTTTTGCTCGTTACCGTGATACTGGTAGCGTAGCCCGACGTCAAGGAGGTAGGCGGAAGAAAACAGCAACATCAGCAGAAATGGTTCGAAAAGTAAAGAAGCGACCCACGTCGCAGTGGCCGAAAAATGACCCGTGAGCTGAACATATCGCAATATTCCATTCGGAAAATATTGAAAAATGAGCTCGGGGTAACGACATTGAAAATTCCAGAAAGTGCAAGAATTTAAACCGCAACTGAAAGAATATAGACTCAAAAGAACTAAAGAGCAGTTTGTAAACAAATAAAATGATCGTGTTTACTTGTCAAAGAGGTCAGCTGAAAATGTTCACCTTCAGTTGGCCACCAGAACTCAAGCGCCGGCCATGGTGATGGTGTGGGCCGCCATAACAGCCGATGGTCGCTCTCCGTTCGTATTAATCGACCGTGGCATCAGAATAAATGCCGAATATTATCGCGAAAATATTCTGGAGGGTGTATTAAAGTCTTGGGCATACAAAAATATTGGCCGCAGACCTCGGTCATTCCAACGTGATTCATCATCATCATCGCACACAGCACACCTTTGCGCCACCCAAGAATGGTTACAAAATGAGATTCCTCACTTAATTTACATCGCAGAGTGGCCTCCAACAGCCGATGGTCGCTCTCCGCTCGTATTAATCGACCGTGGCATCAGAATAAATGCCGAATATTATCTCGAAAATATTTTGGAGGGTATATTAAAGTCTTGGGCACGCAAACATATTGGCCGCAGACCTCGGTCATTCCAACAGGATTCATCACCATCGCACACAGCACACCTTTGCGCCACCCAAGAATGGTTACAAAATGAGGTTCCTCGCTTAATTTACATCGCACAGTGGCCTCCAAAAACTCCGGATACCAATCCGTTGGACTATTGTGCCTGTAGTGTTTTGGAAAGCAAGGTAGGCACTAAAAAATACCAAAGTGTCGATCACCTCAAGCAAGCGCTTCGCCGGGAATGGACCAAAATACCGCAGAGCAGTGTATGACGGTTTTATTGGCAGTTTAAAGTCTATAATTCTTGCCAAATTTAACCAATTCGAACAAATCTAAACTTATTCTAAAATGTTATGCTATTTCCGACTTTTTTGCTTTTATTCAAAAAATTAATAATTTTGTTTCAGTTTTTTATCTCACCCTGTATATTAATAAAGGACTGAAATAAATGACTGACTGATTGACTGACTTAACGATACATCAACGCCCAGACGAAACGGCTGAAGCTAGAATTTTGAGTCAGGGTCACTCTTAGACCGAAGTGAAATTCATACTAGACCGGTAAAAAAAGTATTAAAAGGTACTAAATAGGATACCCTTTGCATTTGAGGAAGCAGTAGAGCTTAAACTTCTAAATTTGAAATGAAGGTCACTGATGGAGTGATTTTTGGAAATTTGGACTATACGTATGCGAAAAGAACTAAAATTCAATACATTTGGTACCATTTCGTATCATGCGAATGGTTAGAGCTAAAAATTTGAAATGGGAATCAAGGTTGAGGCGTAGTGGAATATATGTAATGAGGTAGTTTTGAAAGTGTGTACTCATGAAAGTACTAAATTTAGTACATTTTGAATTTAGAGGAACGGATGGAGCTGGAATCTTGAAATTTGAAATTTATATGGGAGAAGTTTTTGAAAATTTTACTTATGTACACGAAAAGTATTAAATGGTACTAAATTTGCAGTACTACAGCAGTACCGAAATTTGCAAATAAAATTACTATTGCATTGTAGGACTAAGGAATGTAGGTGGTTTTGGAAATTCGTACTTATGTGTATTAGATGATATTAAATCCGATACAATTTAAATTTTGGGAGAATTGATAGAGTTGGAATCCAGAATTAGGGAATAAGATTCCTATTAGATTGTATGATGTAGGTAGCTATTGAAATTTGTACTTAAGTATACTTAATTGTAATAAATTCGGCACAATTTAGATTTGGTAGAACCATTAGATCTGGTATCCTGAAATGTGGAAATAAGATTAATGTGGGATTGTAGGATTATGATATATAGTCAGTTTTGGAAATTTGTACTCATGATACAATTTGAACTTGAGTGAAACGATAGATCTGGAATCCTGAAATTTAAAATTAAGATTACCGTTGGAGTGTATTATTTGTATATGGAGGTAGTTTTCGAAATATGTATGTGTACTGCTTGGTACTAAATTTGTTACAATTTTTATTTGGGTGAACCGATAAGGATGGAATCCTGAAATTTGGAATTGGGATTACTGTGAGAGTGTTGGAATGGGGTATGTAGGAATATATTTGCTTTTGTGCACTAAATAGTACTATTTGAGTTTCCTGAAATTGGGTAATTCGATTTCTATAGGATTGTATGATTGATATACCAAAGTAGTTTTGAAAATTTGGAGTATAGGATTGGGGTATGTAGAAAGTTTTTAAAGTTCGTACTTATGTGTACTTAATTTGGTACAATTTAAATTTGTGTAAACCAATAGAGTTGAAATTCCGAACATTTATGTTAAGAAAACAGACGGAAAGACGGGCGGACATAGCTAAAGAACATATGTACTTTGTGGGGTCTAAAATGTATATTTCGAAGTGTTACAAACGGAATGACAAACTTAATACGCCTCCCAAACTATGGCGGAGGGTATTAAAAATTTGAAAACAAGTAAAAAAGCTGAACTTTGAATACCCTCCTCCATTTGGAACAAATTTGACAATTTAAAAAAAAAAAATAAATAAAATCCGTTAAAATCTTAAAAATACCGAATGTAGCCGTATATTTGGGTCTATACGACGACGTGGATCTGCATAGGCAACTTTTGTAAGAAGCTATTACAAAGTTCAAATGCGGAACTTGAAAAAAATTCTGTTCATAATGTAGCTATAATCATCAAAATACCGAAAATAGGGGGTTATAAAACGTGGACCTGCACAGACAATTTTCTGTCATAGGCTGTAGTATCCATTACGAACTTCAAATGCGAAATTTGAAACAAATCTGGTTTAGGTACAAAACCCACCGAAATTGTTTGAGACGCGTATTTGAAGTTCGTCATGGATGCTACAGCCTATGGAAGAAAATTGTCTATGCTGGTCCAGGTCTTCGCACAGATCCGATATAACGCTACCTACCTATATACGATATTTTCATGATTTTAGCTACATTATTCACCGTTTATTTCAAGTTTCGAATTTGAATATGGCAATGACTTATGACAAACAATACCCATGTAGGTCCACGTCGTAGAGACACTAATATAACGGCTATATTCGGTATTTTTAAAATTTTAACAGAATTTTTTAAGGATTTTATTTCTTAATTCGTTCCAAATGGTGGAGGGTATTCAAAGGTCGGCCCGGCCGAACTTACTTCTATTTAAATTGTTTCATACTCGTTGCAGCCCTCTTGTTTGGGTATATTAAGATATACTTACCAGTACGTCCGAAATCGTTTTGGAAATGTATCGAAGCATACGTATAACAAAAACATTAAGAAATTACTTTTTACAATTTAACATAGATTTGGTTTTTTTATTTGACGAAATTTACATTTAAAATTACAAAAGTAGAACACCATTAAAATATACAGTTTATTGAACTTTGGATTTTAGCTGTATGACGATTAGCGGTATCTACAATTGACATTCATTGAATATTGTGTTTACACAACTGAAACTACTCTATTTTAGATTGAAATTATTACAACAAATTAAAATAAAAAATATCATAGTGCACACTTCTTGTACAAAAAATGTACATGATATACAAATAATAAATGCTACAAATACGTTTTAAAACAACAAAATATTACGAAACCGAACCTTTTCCGACTTAATTTTCCTAACATTTTTAATAAAGCACACAGAAGTAACTAAAATACATTTCTTTAAATACAACACTTTAAAATCACAATTCTTAAATACTTTTACAATCATTGTTGAAAATAGGCAAGATGTACAAAGGTGAATGGAATTAGAATAAACTATTGGAAAAATTTATATTGCATGTAGATGAGTCAACTGTACATGCAGAATGTAAGCCACACACGATTGTACAACTTGAAAAGGTTGCATTCAAGATTCTATCGTTTGTGGGCCGGGAAATTTTGGGTGAGGGTCACTCTTGATCCGAAGGGGTCATATAAGGCTGGATTTTTGGTATGGTAAGAGTTTTTGGAAATTCGAATTCCAAAATTTCCCGGCTCACAAACGAAACAATCTTGAATGCGAAAAGTACTAAAATGTACTACATGTAGTACCATTTCGTATGATGTGAACGGGAATTTAGGTTGAGGAGTAGAGTCGATGTAAGGAGGTAGTAGTACGAAAAGTTTAAAACCGTACTAAAATTAGTACAATTTGTATTTGAAGGAGCGGATGGGTTGGTATCCTAAACTTCGACATTATAATTACGGGCGGAGTGTAGGATTAGAAAATGGAAGAAGTTTTCGAAATTAGTACTTATGTGCAAGAAAAGTACTAAATGGTACTAAATTTGGCACAATTTCGATTTGGGTGAATCGATAGAGCAGGAATTCTTAAATTTAGAAATAATATTACTATTGCATTCCAGATCTGAGGAATGTAGGTAGTTTTAGAAATTCGTGGCACTAAATTTGGTACAATTTAAATTTTGGGTGAACCGTTTGAGTTGTAATCCAGAAATTTGCAATTAAAACTTCTTTTGGAGTGTATGATGAAGCTTGTTATGAGAATTCGTACTAAAGTTTACTAAATTTGGCACGACTTGGATTTGGTTGAATCAATAGAGCTGTTCTCCTATTTGGAAATACCATTACTGTCGTAGTGTAGGATTGAGATATGTAGGATGTTGGGGAAATTTGTACTTATATGTACTAAAATCTACTAAATTTGGTACAATTTGGAAAGTTGGGGAAATTTGTACTTATATGTACTAAAATCTACTAAATTTGGTACAATTTGGATTTACGTAAACCAATAGAGCTGATTTCCTGAAATTTGGAATTAAGATGACTGTTGGTGTATAGGTGTTGTTGGGTTATGTGAGAAGTTCCGGAAAGTCATAGTTATCTGTACTAAATATGCTACTAAATTTTGTATTTGGGCGAACCGATAAGTAGGGAATGCTGGACTTTGGAATTGGTATTACTGTGGGAGTGTAGGATCGGGGTATGTAGTAAGCTATGGAAATTCGTACTTAAGTGTACTAAATAGTACCAAATTTAGTACAATTTGTCTTTTGTGGAACCGATAGGGCTAAAATCTTGAAATTTGGAATTAATATTACTGTTGGCGTGTAGGATTGGGTTATGTAGGAAGTTTCGGAAAGTCATACTTATTTGTACTATATGCTATTAAATTTTGGCAACATTTGTATTTAGGCGAACTTTGGAATTACTGTGGGAGTGTAGGAAGCTATGGACATTCGTACTTATGTTTAGTACACATAAGTACTAAATTTAATAGGCTGGACTCCTGAAATTGGGTAATGAGATTTCTATAGGATTTCATGATTGAGGTACGAAAGTAGTTTTGGAAATTTGGAGTATAGGATTTTGGTATTTAGGAAGTTTTGAAAATTCGTACATTTGTGTACTAAATCTGGTACAACTTGGATTTGTGTGAACCGATAATGCTGGATTACGTGGTTTTAGAAAAGTGTGCTAAAATTGTTCGAAAAGTACTACGTGGTACTACTGCAAAGTGAAGTTGTATAAAGAGGCTGTACATAAAGTTGTATCGTTTGTGGTCGAAGCATACAACTTGGATACCCTCCAAGTTTTAAGAACGGTTGTATCGTGTGTGGCTTGCATAAGAACCTTAACTTACTCAACCATCAACTAAAATGTTTGATGCAAATACTGCTAAAATCATTGTCATGAATTGACACTTTGACGTTGAGTTTATATTTATATGGACTCAGGTGACCTTTTTCCTGTGTAGAGTACAAAGTACTGGTGGTCCTTACAATTTTGAGGGACTTCATCTCTGTTATTTGTTATTTTTTCCGAACAGCTTTAAAACTAGTTAATTATTCACCATGTATAAGTAAAACTATAATTAATGTTTACAGGATCGCAGATGAACTACGCTTCTGTCTCGTCCGCAATACCATCGGCCAATTCTTCGGGTGATCTTAAGTCTATGGCGAATTTTTGTCGGGCGGGTGTTATTTTATCACTATCTTCGGTACCGTTTTCTTTGACACGCCTTGAGTAGTCCTGAAATGCCGCAGCCAAGGCATATGTTAATTTACGAGCCATTGCTCTACTATCACAGACAAAGGCATGCACCTCATACGGGTGGACATGGGATTCGTCTTTTACCACAATCATAGCGAACACACGAGTATAGATGATATCTTGAACACCGTACGATATTGTATCGATGGGATAACTCCAGCTGCTCACACCCTGGACCTTGGGTGAGATAATTTCGATGCTCACCCCTTCGGTTGAGACTTTCAGTTCGCAGTGTGGTAATGTTTTGTTTGGTGGGAGAGTTTTAGCCATGCCAACCATTAAATCGACGGGACGACGAGTGTATTTTATACCCCACAGACCCTGTGCAATTTCCGAGCCAATATATTTGACCTGTAAAAATAGATGGAAATCGTTGAATACACTATATATATATATACATATATAGATACGAAACAATTACACATAATAACATGTTTTTAATAATTTCTGCTTTGTTAATGGACCGGATGTAATATGCATGACAACAGGTAGTAATATAAATTTTTAGCTGTATACCATGGTACAATATTCATCCACAAAATATTGTGAGTTCAGCCAACTGTAACCAGTGGACCAAATTAATTTCGCATTAGAGCAGAAACTATGACATTTTGTGTAGCTTGTCCGCTCTTAACCATAGCTCCACATACTTTTCTTGTCAACATTTGTTTTTTTGTGTTTTTAATTATATCTGTGTTGTTGTTCTGCTATGTGTACCTATACATACCTTGAATGTTATGGGCAGTTCTTCTATGGACACCTGGGTATCTGCATCAATATTTGAAGCCATTTCCTTTGTTATCACTAGTATCGGGGATTTGGGCGGGGTGAAAGGGGAATTACGGGATAATTGAAGCGTTAACAATTTTTACTTTTTTGGTTTGCAGTTTTGAGTTCCCCACATTTGCGACTTGCTTTGTTGGTGGTGGCTTCCTTAATTTCTGAAAAAAAACAGTTTTTAATTTCAATTTTTATTTGAATACATTAACGACATTATTTCATAGACTCTACAAAGCACTATGGGGCCAATGGCATGTCATTGAGGCAAAAAATCACAGGAACGAGGTAGAACTTCCAAAGTTCGTTTTAGGTGCTGGTTATGATGAGAACAAAATCTGGCGAATTTCTTTCGAATGGACAAGAAAATAGATATAGCTCCCACATATAAATCTCATCCGATTTGAACTCTATAACAATGATATTCGCTACGTGGTATCAGATACAGTTTAGAAATACTTTTGACAAATTTCTCTCATATCCAAAATGCTATGGACTCTACCCTACTTTTAAGTTCTGTTTGTAACATCTCCATTCGGTATTTTGAGGATTTAAGCCACATTTTTAAATGGTAAACATTTAAAACCAGAGGTGGGTGTTTGTACCCTGATTCCGGGAAAGTATTTTTATACCCTACACCACATAGTGGTAAGGGTATTATGTCTTTGTGCATTTGTTTGTAACATGGAGAAGGAAACGAGATAGACCCATAGTTACTTTTGAGAACCTTCATAGAATCACTTTCTGAGTCGATTTATGCATGTCAGTCCGTCTGTCCGTCCGTCCGTCCGTCCGTCCGTCTGTCCATGTATTCTTGTGAACAAAATGCAGGTCGCATTTATTATCCGATTGAGATGAAATTTTCCAAACAATATTTTTTTGGCCCAAGGACGAACCCTATTGAAATTGGTGAGAATCGGATCAAATTTAGATATAGCTCCCATATATATCTTCATCCGATTTCGGGTTAAATGTGCACCAAATGTCCACTATCAGTCCAAATCAGCTGAATTTTGGCACACCCAACCGAGTTCGGCCTAGAAGCAAGTATATCAAATTTGGAGAAAATCGGTTCAGATATAGCTATAGCTCCCATATATATCTTTCATTCGATTTCGAGCTAAATGTGCACCAAATGTCCACTATCAGTCCAAATCACCTGAATTTTGGCACACCCAACCGAGTTCGGCCTAGAAGCAAGTATATCAAATTTGGAGAAAATCGGTTCAGGTATAGCTATAGCTCCCATATATATCTTTCATCCGATTTGATCTTTAAGCCCCTCACATTCTTACTATGCACTCCACAACCGTGATATTTGGTACCAGGTATTAGATGGGGCACAGAAATAGTTGTTTTAAATTTTATCGAAATCGGTTCAGATTTGGATATAGCTCCCATATATATCTTCATCCGATTTCGGGTTAAATGTGCACCAAATGTCCAAATCACCTGAATTTTGGCACACCCAACCGAGTTCGGCCTAGAAGCAAGTATATCAAATTTGGAGAAAATCGGTTCAGATATAGCTATAGCTCCCATATATATCTTTCATCCGATTTGATCTTTAAGTCCCTCATATTCCTACTATGCACTCCACAACCGTGATATTTGGTACCAGGTATTAGATGAAACACAGAAATAGCTGTTTTAAATTTTATCGAAATCGGTTCAGATTTGGATATAGCTCCCATATATATCTTCATCCGATTTCGGGTTAATTGACCACCAAATGGCCAATATCAGCCCAAATGGCCCGAATTTTGGCACATGTGACCGAGATTAGCCTTAAAGAAAATACAACAAATTTGGAGAAAATCGGTTCAGAAACAGCTATAGCTCCCATATATATGTTTTATCCGATTTGGTGTTTAAGCCTCTCACATTCGTAATATGCACTCCACAAGAATGATATTTGGTACCAGATATAAGATACAGCCCAGAAATAGCTGTTTGTAATTTTATCGAAATCGGTTCAGATTTGGATATAGCTCCCATATATATCTTCATCTGATTTCGGGTTAATTGTGCACCAAATGGCCGATATAAATCCAAATGGACTGAATTTTAGTACATCGGACCAAATTCAGGCTAGAAGCAAGTATATCAAATTTAGTGAAAATCGGTTCAGATATAGATATAGCAACCATATATATGTTTCATCCGATTTGGTGTTTTAGTCCCATACATTCGTGATATTCACTCCACTACCGTGATATTTGGTACCAGGTATTAGATGGAGCACAGGAATAGCTGTTTTAAATTTTATCGAAATCGGTTTAGATTTGGATATAGCTCCCATATATATCTTCATCCGATTTCGGGTTAAATGTGCACAAAATGGTCAATATCAGCCCAAATCACCAGTCTAGAAGAAGAAGAAGAATACGTAAAATTTGGAGAAACCCGGTTCAGAGATAGCTATAGTTCGTAAAATGCACGATAAAATTAGATAGATTTTGATTTTGTACCAAATATCATAGAGCTTTGAAATGCCCTGAATAAACCTTTTTACGAGAGCTCTACTAAATATGCATAGTGGTGTAGGGTATCATATAGTCGGCCCCGCCCGACTTTTGAGCTTTCCTTACTGGTTTTTTCTTGGGAGACGGACCCGGATACTTGACCCGATAAGTATGGCGATATCTGTCCGTCTGTCTGTCTCTCCGTCTGCGGAAATCACTCTAGCCCCCGAACAAATTGAAGTAGGCGGATAGAATTTGACTCAGATGTGTGTTACGTTGGCAAAACGTTTGTTATGAAAAATGTGTTACATAGGTCCACGTTTTGGTATAGCTACAATTTTAAACCGAATATGCTGTGAATTAGCAGTATGTGTTTCCATTATGTAAGCAACATTCTTGCATAGAATTGTCAATATAGGTCTAAGTTTGGGTATAATCACCACATAACTGTACCTCCAGATATTCGGTATTTTGATGATTCGTGTCACTATTTTTACCGGAAATTTTTCAATAAAATAGTCACTAGTAACATGCTGGGAATTATAGATCTATAGAGAGATGGTTTTAAGACACAATATTCGAGTATAATTTAACGTCACCAGCAAACATCACAATTTTAGAGCAACCAAGAACACATGGAAGGTCATTTAAGCAAAGGCTATAGTCGTGCGGGGCCGACCACGTGATACCCTACAACACTACAATATATTAGAAGCCCCCTTATGTCCAAATCCATTTTGGAAGATTTCGCTTTTGAAATTATGTCACGAAGCACATGTTAACCTAAGCATTTTGACCAGGAATATTTGCCCAATATTTACGCACTTCATCGAGCTGTTAGTTGTTGTAGACTTCTTCCCTGTCCTTAACTCTCTCCTCAGGCGTGTTTATTGACTTCAATTGTTTGGTCAGGAAATATTTTCTATTTTTTGTTTATTTGAACCCCTAAATATTTTGCGATCATCTCTAAAAGAAATAGAGTTCTATTCTGACCTTAACCCCACCTCCATACTAAATTTCGTGAAGATCGGGCCATAATTGCGACCTGTAGAGTGATTACAAATTAACATGGACAGACGGACATACATAGCTAGATCGACTCAGCTCGGCGAGGAAGACCCATATATACTTTCCTATGTGGGAAACCAATATTTCGAGGTGTTACATAATTTTGGCCCAATCAAACTTATAATACCCCCAACACATAGTGTTGTAGGGTATAATTACCACCTTGAGGAACTTCTGAGTATACAGCTATATTTTTAGAAAGAATATTATTAAAGAGCATTTTTTGGGTACTTTCCTGTAAATATGTCGATATCCAATAAATTTGTCAAAGTAGACCTACTTCTAACAAAACTGGTGCTGATAAGGTGATATTACAGATAAAAACAAGTAAGAAAGCTACTTAAGTTACCTACTGGTAAAATACACATGTGTTCATACATTTTAGCCTTCTATCTCAATTCGTTCGAAAGATAGATTACAAGAGACACACATGGGCAGAGAAACAGACGGACATCGCTAAATCGTTTTAGAATTTTACGCTGAGCCAGAATGTACGTACGTTGTAGGGTCTATCATGAATATTCAATGTTCTGCCACCGGAGCTAGAACCCATTATGAACTACAAATACAAATTTTTAGACACATTCGAGGCAAAAAATATCAAAATACTGAATATCCGGAGGTACCATTATGTTGGGACTATACGAAAACGTGGACCTATACTATGTTCCGCCACCGGAGCTAGAGCCCATTGCGAAATACAAATACAATTTTTTCGAAATACTGAATATACGGAGGTACCATTATGTGGGGGCTATACGAAAACGTGGACCTATATATACTATGTTTTGCCACCGGAGCTGGAACCCATTGCGAGCTACAAATACCAATTTTAACATAAAACGGAAAAAATATGCCGAAAATCTCCAAAATAACGAATATCGGGAAGTACCGTTATATGGTGGCTATATTAAAACGTGGACCAATATATCTCATTATCAATACCAACTATCCTAGACACAATTCAAATTCACTCTAGGTACGAGGGGGTCAGATAAGGCTGGAAATTCGTACTATAATGGTACGAAAAGTTTTAAAAGGTACAAAATATGACACAATTTATTTTCGATGGAGCAGTGTAACGAACTGTAATAATATGTACTACATTTGGTACCATTTCGCATCATGTTAGAGCTTAAAACTTTGGGAGTCGATTGGAAGAATGTACTCATGTATACGAAAAGTACTAAACGCTACTAAATTTAGTTAACGGATGGAGCTGAAAACTTGAAATTAAAAAAATTACATTACTGGCGGAGTGTAGGATTGGGATATGGAGGAGTTTTCAAAATGTGTACTTATGTGCTAAATTTGGTACAATTTCGATTTGGATGAACCAAAAATGGTGCTAAATTTGGTAAAATTTAAATTTTAAGAGGACCAATAGAGTTGGAATCCTGCAACTTTGAAATAAGATTACTATTACATTGTAGGATTGAGGTTTGTGGGTCGTTTTGGAAATTCTTACTTCTGTGTAAAATGGGTGGTAAATTTGGTACAATTAAAATTTTGGATGAACCTATTGGGCTGTATGATGTAGATAGTTATGGAAATGTGTACTTAAGTGTACTAAATGGTACAATTTAGATTTGGGTGAACCAATATACCTGGTATTGGGATATTTATGCAGTTTTGGAAATTTGTACTTATATATACTAAAATGTACTAAATAAAGTACAATTTCTATTTGGGTGTATTTAATGGTACTAAATTTGGTACATATTGGAATTGTGTTGAACCGATAGAGCTGAAATTCTGAAATTTAGAATGAGAGTCACTGATGGAATGCAGGATAGATGCACCAAAGGTTTATTGGAAATTCAAACTTTAAATTTAGGTAAAGTTCTAAAATGTTACTAAACTTCTAAAATGTTACCATTTGGTCTTAGGTAAACGGATAAAGCTAAAAACTTGACATTTTGTATGAGAATTAAGGTCGGAAAGTAAGTTTGATATAGGGAACTATTCTGATGGTATCTATGTTTGAGATTTGGCTGTGGTTTGGAAATGCGTCGTATATTTGTACGACAAGTACTAAAAGGTACTAAATTTGGTATTCGGTAGAGTAATAGAGGTTAAATCTAGAAATTAAAGGGCGAGATGAAAAAACTGCAATCAACTTCAGACAGCTGTCGTTCCAAAAAGCCAATCGTCCGATAGTTTTAAAAATAAAAGAAGTGGCTATCGGTGGAGTACTCCAGCATTTAAATGTGAATAAATCGTTTATGTTTCGTACCATCGCTCATTACCGTGATACTGGTAGCGTAGCCCGACGTCAAGGAAGTGGAGGAAGAAAACAGGAACATCAGCAGAAATGGTTCAGAATAAATGACGAATATTATCGCCAAAATATTGTGGAGGGTGTATTAAAGCCTTGGGCACGCAAACATTTTAGCCGCAGACCTTACAAAATGTGGTTCCTCGTTTCATTTCCAACGTACAATGGCCACCAAAATCTCCGGATACCAATCCGTTGGACTATTGTGTCTCGAGTATTTTAAAAAGCAAGGTTGGCACTCAAAAATACCGATCACCTAGAGCAACATTGCTTTCATTCAATAAAATTTAAAAATTATGACATTTGACTTTGTTGTATTTTTTATCTCACCCTGAAGATATTGAGGGGTCTATTGGGATATGGAGGTGGTTTTGAAAATATGTACAATAATTGTAGGAGAAATTTTGAATTATAATCAATTTTGTTAATGTCTAGGATGGAGAGATGTAGATTGTTTTGGGCATGCGTACTAAATGTTATTAAATTTGGTATTGGGTGAAGAGATATAGCTGAAGTTCTGAAATTTGATATTTGGTTGGTAGGATTTACATATGGAGAGTTTGAAATAGTTTTGGATGTGGGTACATTGTGCAATGGTTTTACAAAAGGTCTATGTTTTTGCAACGGTAAACTTCAAAATGAAAAATTTCGAAGTTTCCGAAAAAGGGGAATTTTGAATGATATTTAAAATCTTGAAAGTCCGAAATATAGTACCATGTATGAAGTTTTGATTAAAAAATTTGTTTATTTATTGTACTATTGTGGACTTTTCGTTGACGGTGTAGCAGGCACTTGCTAGCTTATAAAAACAGTTGTGCAAATTATATGAGCCAGATATGTGAATTACACTTTAAAACCAGTAAAGAAAGCCTTAAAGTCGGTCGGGCCGACTTTATGATACCCTACACCACTTTGCTAATTTAGTAGAGCTGCGCATAACAATTAAAAGTTTTTATGGGAGAATTCAATCATACACGCTATGATTATAATTATAATTTAAAGTTCAAATCGGAACCGATCTCGATAAAATTTAGCAAAGATATTTCTGAGCTGTATTTGATATATTTCCCCAAATACTGTAGTTACACAGTGCATATTACGGCTGCGGAGGACAAAAATAACAAATCGGATGAACAATATATATGGGAGCTATAGCTATATCTGAAGCGATTTCCATCAAATTTGGCATACTTATTTCAGGTCCAATCTGATCGTACGTGCAAAATTTCATACTATTCGGACTGATATTACACGTTTGGTGCACAATAAAAGGCAAATCGGACGAAGATACATATATATGGGAGCTATATCTAAATTTTGACCGATTATCTCCAATTTCTATAGGGTTCGTCCTTGGGCGAAACAAATGATTTGTGCAAAATTTCATCTGGATAGGGCAATAAATGCGAACTGTACTTTGTTTACAAAAATACATGGACAGACGGACGGACATGCATAAATCGACTCAGAATGTGATTCTATGCAGATCATCAATAGGAACTATGGGTCTATCTCGTTTCCTTTTGCCTGTTACAAACAAATGCACAAAGACATAATACCCTGACCACCTTGTGGGTGTAGGGTATAAATATGCATTGAAGACTAAAAACACGGGCCGGCCCAATCCAATTAGTAAATAAACATAATTTTCTAGAATATTCTTAAAGACTTAAACAGAATAAATGTAATCTATTTACACGCTCCACAACTGTATGGAGGATGGGTATTCATTTAGTTTTCCCAGGGTTCGTTTGTAATCGATTGAAGTTGTAAATTCGCGAATAACACATTACAGTGTTTGCGGAATTTAAGTATTTTGCCGATGTTTTTTATACCATCCACCATACTATGGATGGTATATTAAGTTTGTCATTCCGTTTGTAACTCCTCGAAATACTCATGTCAAACCCAACAAAGTATATATATTCTTGATCACCGTAAAATTCTAAGTCGATTTAGCCATGTCCGTCTGTCGGACTGTCTGTTGTAATGACGCTATCCTTCGAACGAATTGAGATAGAAGGCTAAAATTTGGCACATATGTTTATTTTTCAAAGTAGGCAGGTTAATTTCGTAAATGGGCCATGTAGGTCCACGTTTTCATATAGCCCCCATATAACGGTACCTCCTTATATTCGGTATTTTGATGATTTTAGCGACATTATTCACTGGAAATGTTTCAAATTTGGCATTTAAAGTTCGAAATGGATACTACCGCCTAAGAAAGAAAATTTTCTATGCAGGTCCATGTCTTCGTATAGCCCCCATACAACAGTACCTCCCGATATTCGGTATTTTGATGATTTTAGCGACATTATTAACCGGAATTGTTTCAAGTTTGGTATTTGAAGTTCGTAATGGATACTACAGCCTAAGACAGAAAATTGTCAGTGCAGGTCCACGTATTCTTATAGCCCCCATATAACGGTACCTTCCTATATTAGGTATTTTGATGATTTTAGCGATCTTGTTAAGCGGAATTGTTTCAAGTTTGGTATTTGAAGTTCGTAGTGGATACTACAGCCTAAGACAGAAAATTGTCAGTGCAGGTCCACGTCTTCGTATAACCCCCATATAACTGTATCTCCTAATATTCGGTATTTTGATAATCTTAGCGTCATTATTCACCGGAATTGTTTCAAATTACGTATTTAGAGTTCGTGATGGGAACTACAGTCTGTGACAGAAAATTGTATATGCAGGCCCAGTTCTTCGCACAGCTCCGATATAACGGTACCTCCCTATATTCGGTATTTTGATGATTTTAGCAACATTATTCACCGTTTAATATGGTAATGACTTATGACAAACAATGCCTATGTAGGTCCACGTCGTCAAGACCCCAATATAACGGCTATATTCGGTATTTTTTAAAAATTTAACAGAATTTTTTAGGGATTTTATTTTTTGAAAATTTCCAAATTCGTTCCAAATGGTGGAGGGTACTCAAAGTTCAGCCCGGCCGAACTTACTGTTTTTCAACTTGTTTTTTTTTTTTGCTTTTTTCCAACGGAATTTTAATTAAATTACACTTTTTTCGCCCATACTACCAAGTATTTAGTTGACAAACTGTATTCGTATCTTTTATTTTAAAAAATTGATATGCGAGTTTATTTATTTTTTCTCAGAGTCGATACAATGCAAAATTAAAAAAAAAAACTTTTGTTTTATGTACAACATCAAAGCCAAGTTCATTGAATAAACATTCGTACCAGCTCACTTACATGAACTCTGAGACACACACTCACAGCTGCCAAGAAAATCAGCTGTAGTTTATTTTTTTCTTCGTCGTTTGTTTTGAATCGTTACGAACCGAAAAAAAGACGACGACAAAGATTGTGCGCAGACGCAACGGTACGAGATTTTAATGCGATTTGTTTGCAAAAATCATGGCCACGATCAAGTTTAATTTCGTATTTTCTTCTTTTTTTACCGACGCTCCGTTGGCTGGCTCTGACAAGCAAGCACCCAATTCACTCTCTCAAGCTTGCAATAAAAATACGGTATTTTTTCTTTTTTAGTTATTATTGTTTTGCGAGCGTCTAACAATGATTGTTTCACTGTAGCTCTCTGTGTTGCCTTGTCTGCTGCACTTTTTGGACTGAAATACAATACGCTAACCACACACTCTTGATTCTATGACTGATCATGGGCAAGCTGGGGCGGCTGTTGTCGACGATGACGGTCTACTGCGATCATTGTGTTGATAATTATTTAGTTCCAGTCGGAACTAAAAGCAGACCGCGAGAAAAAAAGATAAAATCATAAACAAAACAACGGTAACAATACTATTTTGTGTTTGGGCTACGGCATTAATGTACACACACATACGTGTGTATGTGTGTGTGCGTATAAAACAAAATAAAATGACATAAACATTTTAGATACATGCTGTACATCATACACACAGCAAACAGACATAGAAGTTAGTCCAACCACTGAATACCGTATAATGCAAACATAAAAAAATACCCAAGTTAATTGCCCTTTTTTATGATTTGTCATAACTTGATGAGCAACAAGTTCGGCTCAGACCAATTTTAGCTGAGCCGATTGTCGCCAATGTACTTAAATATCTAATGCCTATATAGTTTCAATTAAAAAACTATACCCAATCTAACATCTTTAAAAATGGATGAGGCTTTGGATCACATTTTTTATTTCTAAGAAAAAACATAATCAAATTGCAGCTATCGGTACTTCAGGTTGCAATATAACACATGATTGGTGGGAAAGTACATTTTATTGTGTTTGAAAAGTAATTTTATGTTCCAAATCGTATAGAATTTGTGAGTGAAATTTTTCCGTTTTTTTTTGGAAAAAACGAATAAAATAGAGAATCGAAAAAAAATCGAGTAAGTCATGTAGCCGCTTAAGAAATTACTAAGTTCGCCAATATATGCCTTATATCACTTCTGATTCTTATATTGATAAAATATTCAAGATATCGCATATATAGCAAGTATATATAACCTCATATATCACCCAGTAAGGAAAAGTCAAAAGTCGGACGTGGTCGACTATATGATACCCTACACCACATTGCATATTTAGTAGAACTCCCGTAAAAAAATAATTTATTTCAAGTAGATCATACCACCTATCAGCATTTGGCTTTAGATCAGTTACAATTTGCTATAGAGTGCATGATATCACTCAGATAAGGATTATATCCAAATCTCAACCGATCTTGATCAAATTTTGCAGAGGTATTTCTGGGATGTATCTGATAACTGGTACCAAATATCATTGTTGTCGAATGCATATTACGAATGTGACTGACTTAAACACCAAATTAGATGAAACTTATATATGGGAGCTTAAGATATATCTGAACAGATTTTCTCCGAATATAGTGTTCTTGCTTCTAGTCTGAATTCGGTCAGATATGCCAAAACTCAGATCATTTGGACTTATATTGGCCATTTGTTGCCAAATTATATCCAATATGAGCCGATCTTGACAAAATATCATACACTTATTTCGAAGCTGTGTCTTATATTTGGTACAAAAATCATTGATGTGCCCCAAATCGGATAAAACATATATATACGAGCTATAGCTATATTTGAACCGATTTACAACAAATTTGAAGTTCTGGTTTATAGGATGAATTCAGTCGTAATCATTTGGTGCACGATAAACCCGATATAGGATAAAGATATTTATGGGAGATATATATAAAATTTGACGAGTTATTTTCGAGCAGTATCTAATGCCCGGTACCAAATATCATTCTTTTGGACTTAATACCCCAAATTAGATGAAACATATATGTGGGAGCTATAGCTATATCTGAACCAATTTTCCAATTTTGACTTACTTACTTCTAGACTGTATTTGGTGGGATGTACCAAAATACAGGTCATTTTAACTTATATTAGCCACTTGGTGCACAATTAACCCGATATCGGTTGAAGATATATGGGAGCTATGTCTAAATCTGATCCGATTATCACCAATTTCAATAGGGTTCGTCCTTGGGACAAACAAATATTGTTTGCAAAATTTCATCTCAATCGGATAATAAATGCGATCTGCATTTTCTTCACAAGAATACAGGATGAGATGAAAAAACTGTAACAAACTTCAGACTGATGTCATTTCTAAGCCACTCGTCCGAAAGCTGTTAAAATTATTCCAGTGATAGCTCATTATATTGTTTACAAGCGTACAAAAGCATTTAGGTGAGCATTTTCCAGAAAAGTTATTCGTGATGGAATTCAAGCGTGATAGTGTGATTCCTTTATATTTGGCTGAAAACCACAATTGGCTATCGTTAGAGAACTCTAGCATTTAAATGAAAACAAATTTTTTGTGTCTCGTACCATCGCTCGTTACCGTGATACTAGAAGCGTAGCCCGACTTCAAGGAAGTGGACCGAAGAAAATAGCAATATTAGCAGAAATAGTTCGAAAAGTAAAGAAGCGATTTGATCGAAACCCGATGGCCGAAAAATGGCTCGTGAGCTGAACATATCGCAATATTCCATTAGCCAAATATTGAAAAATGAGCTCGTGGTAAATCCATTGAAATTCCAAAAAGTTCAAGAACTTACACCGCAACATAAAGAAAATAGACTCAAATAAGCTAAAGAGTTGCTTCGTTTGGCCGAAAGTTGTGAACTGCCGAATTTGGTTTTCTCCGATGAGAAAACTTCGTTGTCCAGCAGTTTGTAAACAAACAAAAAATGATCGTGTTTACTTGCCAAAGAGGTCAGCTGAAAATGTGCACCTCCGGTTGGCCACCAGAAATCAAGCGCCGGCCATCGTGATGGTGTGTGCCGACATAACAGCCGATGGTCGCTCTCCGCTCGTATTAATCGACGTGGTATTAGAATAAATGCCGAATATTATCGCGAAGGGTGTATTAAAGCCATGGGCACGCAAATATTTTGGCCGCAGACTTTGGACATTTCAACGGGATTCAGCACCATCGCACTCAGCACTCGCCACCCAAGAATGGTTACAAAATGTGGTTTCTCGCTTTATTTTCAGCGCACAATGGCCCCCAAAATCTCCGGATACCAATCCGTTGGACTATTTTGTCTGGAGTATTTTGGAAAGTATGGTTGGCACTAAAAAATACCAAAGTGTCGATCACCTCAAGCAAGCGCTTCGCTGGGAATGGGCAAAAATACCGTAGAGAAACATACGGACAGCGTGTGACGGTTTCATTGACCGTTTGAAGGCCACAATTCGTATCAAAGGTGACCAATTCGAACAAATCTAAACCTATTCTAAAGGTTGATGCTTTTTCCGATATTTTATGCTTCCATTCAATAATATTAAAAAAATGTAACGAGTATGGCATTTGACTTTGTTGCATTTGTTCTCACCCGGTATATGTCATCTTCTCACTAGATATTGTTTTAGTATAAATATTGAGATGTGTGAATGTTTAGGAGAATTGGATGCTCAATTCGCATTTTCTGGGGGAGGTACTGGAAGGAATGAACCGATAAATCCAATCTTCACGCCAGTCTTTGTTTTAATAAAAATATTGGAATATGCAAAATTATTTCACATTTTAAGAGAGTTTAATTATTCCATATTTTGACCCTTTGAAGGGGGAGGTACTTGATGTTGTGGGCCGATATATTTCCTTTTCGCAGTATTCCTAACACTGATAAAAATATTAGGATTTGCAACGTTTGCACAAAATTGGTTGATCCTTTTTTGTTATATAAACCATACTTATTTTTGTTGGATTTGACAAGAATATTTCGAGGAGTTTCAGGCGGAATGACAAAGTTAATATACCCTCCATAGTATGGTGGAGGGTATAGCATTATATATAAACTTATTCTCTTAACAAAATCCAACCTCTGCCCAGCTTCTATTCTCCATTTCCATAAAATCGTTAACTTCGGCGACTTCTTTGTGTAGGGTATGTTAACTGACACTACTAAACAAATTGTACGAGTCGAATACAAACACAGCGCGAAGAAAAAACGATTGGATGAGTCAGTTCGCCACAGTGCACAAGCAAATGCTTAGCTATTTGCCAGTTGAAATGAACGTTAGGCTGCTTCATGAAGTTGTTATAATGCAATTGTTTTTGTTTTGTTTTGAAGATTCTGTATAGGTAAAAAGTCTGTATAGATTAGGATTTGGCTAACGAAAGTTTTTGCGTAAATTACACCAAAATGTAGAAACTCGATGTGGTAACATGCTTTGCAAAGTCTTTAGTGAACAACCCTAATATCAACTTTTAACTAAAAATGGTAATGACCACTGACTTCAAAAGAAAAAAAAAAAAAAAAAAAAAAACACAAAAGACTAACAAAAACATACATTAAATTTAACTTGTCATTAAATTGCTGCCGTTGTTTCGGATTTTGTGTTTGTCTTTGGCGCAACTGTTGTCAATGAACCATACGTCATACTTAACAGTGCGATATCAAGTGATGACGTATGCTCAAAAATTTTGTTAAAAACACACTCAGAGAAAAATTTGTCAATTCGACAACAAATGTTCCGAAACCTATAAAAATTACTAGTTTTTGCATATTTTTTCGATACTATTAAGGAAAAATTGGTTATCGTAGTAAAAATGTTAACATTCACATCAAGTATTAATAATAGAATGTTATAAAAACAGGTCGAACTCATTTAAACAAAATGACAAAACTCGTAACATAATCCAAATCTGCAATAATTTACGACTTTAATGTTCATATCGGAGAGCTGATATTTGGCTATATTCGTCAACGAAATCGGCTGTTTATACCCTCCACCATACTATGTAGGGTATATTCATTTTGTCATTCCGTTTGTAACTCATCGAAATAATGATCTTAGACCCAACAAAGTATATATATTCTCGATCAGCGTAAAATTCTAAGACGATTTAGCCATGTCCGTCTGTCTGTCTGTCTGTCCGTCTACCTGTTGTAATCACACTATCTTTCGAACGAATTGAGATAGAAGGCTAAAATTTTGCACATATGTTTATATTGACTAAAATCATCAAAATACCGAATATCGGGAGGTACGTTATATGGGGGCTATATGAAATCGTGGACCTACATGGGGAACTTGACCTGCAGGTTAAGTTCACGTTTTCATATAGCCCCCATATAACGTACCTCCCGATATTCGGTA